GAAATTGTCCGAAGTTTAGCGGATTTTCTGGATTGTATTGGTAGAGGGTTAGCCTGGGCTCTCCCAGCCTTCAACTGGAACAGGGCCATTCATACAAAATTGGATATTTTCAAGGGCCATCTATTCGAATTACCATCGAAGATTTATAAGGTACCTTATTCAAAAAATTTTTAAACTGCAAAAATTACATGTTTAAAATGAATTAAGTTTGGCCAAATAGCTTCAGCTTTTTGCAAATCAGTTTTCCAAGAATTTGAAGAATTCTCAGACTCAGAGCACAGCAACTAGGTTTAGTTCTGAGTTTAATGAAATATTATATTCCCCCTAAATTAACTGAAAGATTTTGAGAATTTTGCATAATTCTTATTTTATGGATAGATAGGATTAAAACAATTATTGAAATTTTACAGATTTTTGAATGTTAAAGAGAAAGTAGATGTACTTTCACGTGACCCTTTTTAAAGAGTTACATGACCGATTCACAGTGGTTCCCATTAAACCTTTGTATGAGACAAAATGATAGCGTTATTCTTGTTTTTTCTTTTTAAAATTACTGTTTTTAATTTTGACTGTATAAAGGTAGACTTGCGAATTTATTCAGCAAAGACGGGGTAAGCAAATTAAGCAAATTGTCAGCTTTTTTTAAGGTAGTAAAACATGATATTTATTGGCACTGTCCTGAATCTGACATATAGCGCTTAAATTGAGGTTAGCTTGAAAGTATAACGTCGAGAGTTCCTTTAAGCTGAGACATTAATAGGCCTTTAGTCCCCCACCCTTTAGAACCCACGCATCCAAGTAGAGAAATATTTAAATTAATAGGCCTTTAGTCCCCCACCCTTTAGAACCCACGCATCCAAGTAGAGAAATATTTAAATTCATGTTTTAAATGATTCACTGAAGACTATCTGCAGTGCCCGGCGTTGCCCGTGAAAAAAATTAAGGAATTATGAACAAAAAAAATTTATACTATGTTACCCCCTAGGATACCCACGGGTTTCCTCAAAAATGTCTTGCCGTTTGGCCAGCTATAGCTAACATATATTATATATATGAGCAAAGAGCTTTATAATATGTAGATTTATCTTTAAATATATTTCTTTTCTATTCTGTTTCTGTTTTTTAACCACGTTGTCATTTTCAACCGTGGTATACGATAAACAACTCTAGCCTTGGGCTTGAACAAGTGTTTTGTGCATTAACATATTCATAAATATTAACATTTTTTTATTTGAAAATTTTAGAGTAATAGAGTTCCCCTTCTTAAAAATCACCATCCCCCCCTCACATTTATCAAGAAAATACTTTTTGGGGAGAGGTATACAACATTTATATATTTTCTATAATCATACTTAAATCTTTATTGTCTATTCTGTCTGTTTGTGTCCAATGAACGTCAAAACGGCTGAACCGATCTGGTCTTTTTTTTGTGGGACCTCTTTAAGTTACGTAAACAGTCCCTTTAAATTCGTAATTTAACTACGCAGCAGTTATCTAAAAGTACAAAGTTGAAATATTTAAAAATGATTTAAATACTATTTTGTCAAGATGAATTCTTAGTTAGAAACACGTGTGGAAAAGGCTAAAGAGAAAAAAATGGCTATTTATAGAAAATTGGGGGAATGGACTGAAATTATTTAATTATTTACCTCCTGAATTTAACCCCTTTTTTACGACGTTATAGTTGTTAAAATATTTGGTTTCCGTCTATATAGCATTTTTGTTAAAAATATGAAATCATGGAATTTAGACATAAAAACAGTGTTTTTTTATCGTGACTAACTTTTGGGGTTTCGCAATTATTTTATTAGAACGGGGGGGGGGGGGAGGTTGAGTCTTATTCCTAGATTGAGCCAAGATAATTAATAATTGATTTATCAAGATTAGCTACTACGCATTTATTAAAAGTACACACATGACACAAGCCATCCTAGTGTCACACATATATTTTGTATTAAAGTGACACATGTGATTGTTTTTAAATCACATTATATAAATGTTTTTATCTCATAATGTTGTATTGGCAAAAAATATATTATGAATCTTAACAAATATATTTTTAATATATAAATTGTAAAATGGAAGAATGAACAATATAGGTTTATTGAGATTTAAGTTAATTGATCTTTAAATATATTTTGTTGTTAGTTTTTAGAAAACTGTTATATAAAAATATAAAAAAAGATTTCTCAAATCTACAGTTCACTTTGGGATCAAAAATTAATATTATTCAATTCGATATCTATATATGTATACACAATACTTTGCTTGTCGGTTTGTTTAATAATATCCAATTAACACCAAAACGGCCGAACCGATCGGGCCCAACACTTTTAAGACTACTCACCAGGGAACATCAAATTTGAAAAAAACTTTTAAAAAACCTTGAAAAATATTTTTTTTAAATCCGCCAATTCAGACAGATAAATCCACTATAAATTTTAAAATTTCAAATTATAAAAAAGGCCGACTTTCAGAGCAACGGTTAAAGCCTAGTTTGGTAATGTACAGATGCAAAAAAATGTGAAAATTGGGTCTATGGTTTTTAAAGATTTTTTTAATGTTTCTCTTAAAGATTTTTATTTCAATTCCCTTGTTGGTAAAACTGCAGTTAAAGTGCAAAGTGCACAAACACCCACCATCATGTATTTTTTTCCATAGAAAAAATCATAACTGGCTCGGAGCTCATAGCGCATGATTAGTTGCAAAAATCCGCGGGTGTTTTTAAAAAATGGCGCCAGTCCGGGCAGTCCCGGATTCTTGCACATTTTCAAGCACCCCGTTAACCAGGCCGGGGGTTAGACTGCAGGTTTTACAAGCTCTGATTGGCTGGCAGCCCAGCTCTTAAAATATTCATGGAGGATAAAATATTTTTTCATTAAGAATTGAGTTTTATTCTTTTCAAACATATTTTAGAATTTGAAGAATTATGAATCAAAGTTAGGAAGCTGTCTTCATGGAATTTTAAACCTCCCATCCATAGCGGGGAGATCCCTCGGCCTCGACATTATCTGCCCGCTATATTGCCCGCTATGAAGCAGGCAATCCCGTGCAGGGTCTGCCCGCTATGTTATATTATCTATCTGCTAGGACTGCTGATCTAGGAATTTTCTAAGCCTATACTTGCTTGTACAGATTGTAGGCCTACCGCCTTATTTTCTAGAGCAATGAATAACAGTTTGCCTGGCTTATAACTAGCTTTCATTTTACGCCTGAATTTTTAGTTCCTGGCTGATACTTTTTTAAGTACGATTACATTAAAATCAAAGTTAATTGAATTAAATATTTAAAAAAAATTTAAATATAGATTGATTTAACATTCTTTTAAATGGCACAATCATGCAGCAACCAATTAAAAAATTGTAGTAAATTTCCTATTTAGTAATTATACTTATTACAAAAGATATGAACAGATTTGTTAAGATTTTTGAGTTATTTCCATCCACCCCTCCCCCTCCCTTTTCCAACCTTACCTAGCCCCCCCCTCCCTTTTAGGGCTACGCAACAAGTTTTTATATTGAATATGCTGGCTCACTGAACAGACACTGGATTGTAATGTGTAGGGAGCATTCCCGCCCCCCCCCTCCCCTACTTCACTTAAAACAAATTTTACTTCATAGCATTCCTACTTATTAACAAATCCCATTTTTCAAGTTATATAAAAATAGAGATTTTAGTTTTATAGAATAATTATTCTTCAATTTTTAAATGTAACGGTTTTTATTGATTTAATTTAAGTTTATTGAAAAATTTACCTTTTTCTTATCTAAGTAAAATTAGAGTTTAACTAAGGATTTTTGTATGTTTAGGATGAGATCATTTTTATGTTATCTTTGGTAAATGTCTTTAAAGCAGGGGGGGGGGTGTACCTTATGCTCGAGTTTTTGATATTCTTAAATTTTAAATGGTGTTTAATAAAGACGAAACAAATTATTTAAAAAAGACAGAAAATAAAAAAGAGAAAAAAGAAAGAGAAAAAGGTTAGCAATCATCAAAATTTACGATTAAACTTTTAAAAAGAATACAACTGAAGGAGAAAATTGTTTAGATAGCCAAGAAAATTATTTGGAATTAATTTATTTTTCAAATTATTTAACTAACATAATTTTTGAAATTTGAAACAAAGTTTTTTATTTCAAGAATATTTTTTTAAAAATTATTAAATTTTTAAAAAATCGTGTAGAAAGGAGAATATACTGCAGGTATTGTAATTTGATACATGCCAGGGTTAGGACAAAATTATTTTAAAATTGTTTTTACATATTACAAATAAATTCTTAGCAATTTCTTACTTTTAAAAATAAACATTTGTAGTTTTACTCAATACACAGCAAGCAAACAGTAAAAAAATGTACTAAACTGCAAAATAAAAGATTTTGTCTTCCACGTGTTTTTTATTCAGTCCCATTTGAAATGAGAAAATATCGGACTGTAGTTCATTTAAAAGTCATGAAGGTGTAGAGGCAGGCAGTTAACCTTAAATAATTTGATTTTTTTATCAGAACTATAGATCAGAAATAATATTAGATGTTTCAGCATTCATTGCAATTGTCTAATTTGAATTTGTATTGATTTTCTGAATTTTAAAACAATTTTTATATTTATTATAAATATTTATCGGAATTCATTTTCAATAATTATGTAAAATTAGATAGTTTCATGTAAGAATAATAATATTATTAAATGGACTGAAGTTATATCTAGTGACTCACATTTAAATAGAGGTATGTCCAATTTAGAACAGTACTCTTAAAATCTTTTACTGAAATATCCATGTTTTTCATTTTAAGAAATGATTATTATCAATTGCGGTTATCCCGTAAAAGCGACTTGCGGAATTATGTTGCCGAGACAATTGCATGCAAATTGTGAAAAGTTACCAATTTTTAATAAAGACAAACCACGTCATAGTTACTCAGATAAAGTTTTTAAGAGTACGATCCTTAATCGGACATACTTACTTTTTTACATTTTTAGTCCCTTTTAAGATTTTTTTTCAGTGCATGTTGAGAAATAAATATGGCCGCCTATCTTCACAAGAAATTTAAAAAATACGCAACAGAGAAGGAAAATGGCGCTGAACATGAAGAAGATGGTGCTGAGAGACACAGTGCTGGAAGTATTGTGGGTCCCCTGGAAACGCCCACAGAAGGACGCAGACTGGGCGTGGTTAAACCCCTGCATAGACAGTACTATTGTGATATATGCAGAATTGCATTCAGAGTTGAGTCAAATTTAGAGAAACATATTCAAACCAGGTAAACACTGAACAGTTCCGATTTTTATCGTCAATGTTTTCAACTCTTTCCGGAATAATTTTGAAGCGTACAGGGAAAATAAATAAGTATTTTCCCTTTTGAAAAAAAAACACATTTTGAATTCATTATCAGTTTTTTTAATCATTCCCAATCCTCCGAAAACATTTATTAATCTTGGATAAGAATAAAAAAGTGTGCCAGTCTTGGGAGTCTTGACCTAGTTTTAAAATGTTTAAATAAATTTTTAAAACGCTTTTTCCTCCCGTCTCAGCTAAATTTATAATCGCTAAAAAACAAACTCAATCTTTTGTTGATTCAACTTTTTCAGTCTTGTCTAACGATAAAACTAGAAAAATGATTCCACTAATTTTTTTGATTATTTAGCACTTTCTGTCGTGATTAATGTTTTAAAAAACCGAGGAAAATGTAAAACATTTTCCAGATTTTAATGTTTATAAGAATTCCAGTGAGGATTCATTCGATTCTTTCATTGCTTTTACGTAAACAAACTGATACACACATTCCACCCTTTTTCTGGGGAGGGGGGGGGGGGCAGGGGAACAGGGGAGCAGGGGGGCAAACCTCAAAGTTACTGTCTCAAATTTTCTAATTTCCATATCTTTGCAATTTGAAGGTGTAAAACCTTGGATATTTCAATCTTTGACTATTTGATCTTAATATCAAAGGTTTACGACATCTGGGTCTAGGGAACTAATTCAATGAACGCGAGCAAGGTTGCTGAACTACCTACCACTGGTTCAAATATTCATGAGGATTCGAATCGGTGACTTAGGATTTGAACTGGCGGTAGATAGTTCAGCAACCTCTCCAATTCATTAAATCCGAACCCTGATTGGAATTGGAGGTATCTAATTAGATATTAGAAATAATCGCATGAATTCTCAAGGTTTTTATTAAAACTACTTTTAAGAGATTTCATTTATAGAGTCGCACACCTGATTCTTAACTGCACTCTTTAAACCTTTAGTTTAATAAAAATGAGGAAAATATCAACCTCCCAGATATATCTCTAAATTTCAAGTCACTGTGGTACAAAATTACAATTTAAAATTATCAGCTTTCAGCTAGAAGGATATCTCTATACATTCTGAGGCATAGGTATTATGGGTTTTAATTAGAATTCAGAACCATTTGAAATCTTGCCACTGATCAATAAACATGAATAAGTGTTGTGACTATTTGGAGATAAAGGTCAGTTCAGAAATCAATTCTAATTTTCTATTTATCAATCATTAAAATTCTATTCTAGAATCTACAAAATAAAGTTTCTTTTCTGAATACCACAAGTGAAAGATTTAATCTAGAATCCACAAGATAAAGTTTTATTCTAGAATCTTTAAATAAAGTTTTTTTTTCTAGATCCCACAAGTTAAAGTTGGAGAAAGATGAAAATACTTCTGAACTCGACATTATCAAAGAACTGGGAGAGTCAGGGAAGGTTGAGCTTGATCAACCTGAAGATTTAGAGGATCCCAATATCCCAGGAGCAGCAGATCAACCAGCTAAAACAGGGAACCATTTCATTTGTCAGTTTAGAAAAAAAATAGAAAAAGTCGACTCAGAATTTGAAGTTCATTTTTAGTTTAGTTTATGGCACATCTTTCCCTTTTTTATCAACAGTGTGTAATAGTGTGTAGCATTTATTCCTTAAGCTAATAAAGTTTTCTTGTTTCAGTCTAGCTTATTTTAGATTTTGCATTGCATTTATAACTAATAATAAGGTCTAGAAGTCGGAACATCATAAAAATAAATTTTAAAATAACTAACTAACCTGACATTTAAATACTGCATTTTAATTGAAACTTTCTTTCTTTCAAATCACTTTATTTGGTTCAAAAGTAAAATACAAAAAATGCAGACATATTATCTCTTCATTTATTTAAAATTACCACGACAGGTTGAGTCGTTCCAATATTATTGGAGGCTGATTAATTATTCTGTATCTTCGTGTCTTGTAAAAAGTTGTAATAAAAAAAAAATGCAAATGAAATGTTATTAGATGTACCTCCTATTCTAAGCTCTGTAAATAACAGGTAAGAAACTTCAATTTAGATTTTTATTTATTTTTATTTTTTAAAACTTTTTTTCTCTCCTTTTCTTTTCTGTGGATCTGCATATTATGTTTAATTCCTTACTATTTTCAGTGGTCCTCTACCACCTTTTCACCCTGGACATCCACGGGCAGTTCGTCTTGTAGGTGGTAGACTTGTTGAGGGTAGACCATTAGACAGCCGACTGGTAGACAGTAAATTGGCTAATGATCGGCTATTAGAGGGTCAGCTGCCAGATGGTAGACTCTTGGAGAGTGAAGGATCGGTTTTAGATTCCAGAATACCTCCTCAACTTATTAGTTATGCTAAGGTAAGACTCATAGCTTCGGAACATGAACCATTTAAGGCCGTGCTTAGGATCCGGAGCCGTTGGATCTGGGAAATATGCGGATCAACACCAAGGGGTAAAATATCAACCAAAAATTTCAAAAATCAGCTTTTTCTACTCTCAAAACCCAAATCTGAACTGATGAAAAAAGATAGATTATAACAATTTCCTGATCTTTGAATGGTTCATCAAGTTTTATCATAAAATTAAGCAGAGAAAAGGAATACAAATAATTTTACAATTCTGTTTTGTTAAAAAAAAAATTCAGTAAATCTTAAATGTCCATAACCTCGATCCAGATCCATTTTTTCCAGTGCGGACTCAGGATCCGGATCCACATCAAAATTAAAGGATCTTAAGCACTGAAAGGGTTATAAGGCTGCTGGCTTAACATGTATGATAGCTATTTTATTTATTATAATTATTTTTTGTCTTAAACCAGTGATTTAAAGACTATTGTTACTTCAGGTTGATCCGTTGGTTTATTTTAATCCACAGCAGCTGAGAGGATTAGACCCCCAACAGTTAAGAGGATTAAACCCACAGGTATTGAGAGGATTAGATCAACAACAAATGAAAGGATTGGATCCACAACAATTAAGAGGATTGGATCCGCATCAAATAATTGGATTGGACCCTCAACATTTAAGAGGATTAGATCCGCAGCAGCTTAGAAGGTTAGATCCTCAGCAGCTTAGAGGATTAGATAATCAGCAGCTTAGAGGATTGGATCCTCAGCAGCTTAGAGGATTAGATCCTCAGCATCTTAGAGGATTAGATTCTCAGCTGCTCCTAAGAGGATTGGATCCTCAGCAGCTTAGAGGATTGAATTCTCTTCAGCTTAGTGGATTGGATCCTCATCAGCTAAGAGGATTAGATCCTCAGCAACTTCAAGGATTGGACCCACTTCAACTTCAAGGGTTGGATCCTCTTCAACTTAACCAAATTTTTTCTCATTCAGTTCATCCATCAATTCCTCCAATGCAGTCTCATCCGGCTTTAATAACTCACCCTTTACGGCTGTCTCCTAGTAACCAGTCTTCCTCCCCACATACTTCAGTTCAGATCCAACCTAGATACCAGAATAATAAAGAGGTGCTGGAACCAAAAAATTTCACCAAGACTGAAAGCTCTAAATTCCAACAGTACTTCAATAGGTATCCAGTAGGGCGAGATTTAGCCAGCTCCTCTGCTCCTCAGAAAGAGCTGTTATATGCACACAATGCTCAAAGAGAAAATCAGATTGGTTTTGTTTCAAAGAAAGAATATTCAACCAACCATGTAGTCAACAGAGATGCCTCTATTAGTCTTCAAGAAGGGAATGCATCATACCCTTCCCCTCGAGGAAGTGGTTTTCAATCCAACTATCCTTCCCCTAGGGAACAGGCTAGTAAGGGAAAGCATGATAATAGTAAAGAAGGAGCTTGTCCTACAGATTTAACAAAGAAACCTCCTCAACCTATGCTCAATGCAATTTCTTTGGAGAAAAGAATTAATGAGGTTATAAGTCAGAATCAGGCTATTGTTGAGACTCTTGATCCCTTCTGGAAGGGCAGATACATGCGGCAGTCCAGTAGGGAGGCTGAGATAGAGGGTGGGAAATCCCAACGAGGGAGTGGAAGAAGGTTTAGCCAAACTGCTACTGTATCAGATCAGAACCAGGATGGAAAGCGCAGCTATTCTGAATCAAGTTCTAACCACACCAACTCTATTGGGAATCAAGCTTCAAATCTTGTTCAACAGCCTCAACACACAACAAGCTCCGCTCCATATGTACTCAACGATGGGCGGGCTTCTTCTAATGTACCTTTTTCTCAATTACATCAACAGGTTGCTCAACCTCCTATACCGGTTTCTTTTTCATCGTCTTCTGAGGCTCGAAAACCTCATACAAGTCCTCACTTATCTAGTCATCCACTTTACTCCTCCCATCCTTTGACTCATCAACAAGTTTCAGGTAACCATCAACCCCTCCCACCTGGAAAACCTCCACTCCAACCCAGCCATCAACAGCCCTCTGTAGCAAGCATTCAACTTCCCACGTCTGCTAGTCATCAACTCCATCCAAATGCTAATCATCAACTCCCCCATGCTGTTCAGCAACCTCTTCCTGCAGGCTATCCTCCACAACAGCAGCATCTCAAGACTCCTCATAGGATTGTTGAATTGGAACAAGTACAGAAACAACCTCCTAGACCTGACTCCAACATTCCCCTCAATTTAAGGTAGTGAAAATAATATCTGAAGAAAATATCACTTTTTTCCTAAGGACAATTTTGAGTGACCCTCCATGTAATGCCCGATTTAAAACGGTAGCCTTCAAAGCTTGGTCTGATCAAGTTAGAATTAAATATTCATGTTTTTGTTACTTTAAACTGCTTATTTTTATTTCGGTTTCTCTGCACAACGACAGAAAAACGACATTATCTTCCATCATTTTTGATTCATATTATTAGGTTTCAATAGTACTGTTAAAAATCAGGCATTGCTATCTTTGCATGGAGGGTAACTTGAAATTATACTTACAGTCCCTTTAACAGTTTCTAAATTCCTAAATAATTTAGTGATAGCAGTAGCAGGAAACGGAAATCTCCAGAAGCTCTTTCTATGGGTGATTCTGTTAAGGTAATTGTTTTCTTTTCATAATGCACAAGAGTAAAGTTCCAATAGGTGATTTTACCCAGACCTGCATGCATACCCAGTCTAGCTTAACCAGGTCTCTCTTGAATTTGAATTCCGGTGCACAGGAGAATTGGTTCATCTACGTTTTATTAGTCCATCTGCATCTTGGTATTCATTAAATTTGGTTCGTGTCTATTGGTTATTGTTTTTTTTTATATAATTACTATTAGCTAGCCTTGCAGAAGGTTTCTTGACTTGTCAACTGTTTATGCCAACAGTTACAGAACTTTGCAAAATGTGTGATGTGCATTTGTTTGCGAGGAAAATTTGCAATTTAAATCTGTATTTTGCCAACTCACCTCCGCTATTAATTTTAAAGCAAACAGCAGAATTCAGCACGATTATGATCTAAGAGTGAAAATGCGCGTTAAAACAATATTGTCTTAAAATTTGATTTTATAAAATGAACACCCAACAGTTCATAGATATCTTTGATACGTTCTTATCAGATAGAGATTTGTAAGATCATATTGCAAGCCAGTGAATAAAAACATTATTCATCAATCAATGAAGTAGGACAGGATTTCATTTTGTTGATTTTAAGTTAAAAAAAAAGCGCGAAAGTTCTTCAGAAAATATTGAATAAATATGGCGTCCAAGAAGGTAGATAGATATATATTTCAGCTAACATCATAATGAATACATTTTAAATTTTCTAATTTATAGCTTAACAGTCGGACAGAGCCAGGGCTTACCAGCCTAACCCTTTCTGTTTTTTTTCTGATTGGCTGGCCCTCCAAAGATTATACATTATATTTTTTTAAAATTAACAAATACCTAATACATTACACAAAGCACAAAGAAAATTAAAAAAGAAGAATAAAAGAAGGAAGGGTGAATAGCAGAGGGTAAAAGGGAGACAGGAGAAACCCGAGCAACAAAAAATCCAATTTTTGACGATGATGTGTTATAGAGTTGCACAGGGGCGTACAAGGGCTTTTGTTTAAGGGGGGCACAACCACGAATAAAGATATCGTTTGTTTCTACCGTGGTTTAACTGAAACGAAGTTGGTTTCATATCTAGACACTGATTTTAAGATGAAATTCATAAAATATTAGCAGATGTGAATAACAATAGGGCTGTGTAGTGTATACGTTTAACAGTTCAGCCAATAAGGAGTATTCAACTGCAGGGTGTCTCATCTTAAAGAAAAAATGAACAAATTTGTTTAAGTTTAATTTAGTGAATTTTATCTAGTTAAATTCATTCTTTTTGGTTTTGTGCATTTAATTATGCTTTATGATTTTGAGCAGCTCGAGTAAAAATGTAATTTTTTGAATAAATGTTTTGTTTGGGACACCCTGTAGACAAGCACTGCCTAGAGAATATGACTTGCAAAAGGAAAATAGAAATTGCATGCTTCACCCACGAACAAAGAAAAGGGGGAAAGAATGGTTAGGGAGGGTAAGTGAATTCCCCCCTTTTCCACTTTTCGTGAGATATTAAAAGTCATCCTTTGAATCCTTTTCGGCCTCTGCTTTACTTAATACAAAATCAAAGTTTTGATATTTGATTTGAAATGCGAAAAAATTGAAAAAATTTCGCCAAAAATTAATGTAAAAATTTCGCGAAAAAAAGGATGCGAAAAAACAATGCGAAAATTTCGCAAAAAAAATGGAAATCATGGCAAAAAACGAAAATTTTGCGAAATATACAGAATTTTCCAAAACTAATGCAAAATTTTAGCGTAAAAGTTGCGAAATTTCATCTAAAAAGACTTTATTTTGAGAATACTACACTCATTTTAAAGAGGGATTTATACACGAGCCCAATTAATGGATTTTCACAAAATATAAATATGTTTTAATAATTCAAGAACGACTAGGAGACATCAGACATTTCGCGAAATTTTCGCTTTATTTATATTTGCGAATTTTCGCGAAAAAATTTGCGAAATGCGACCAAAATTTTTTTTTTCGCGAAACGATTTGTTCGCTGGAAACGCTACAATTTGTTCACTTCAATAGAGGGTTCACGGAATTTAAGGGCTCATTTATTTTTCTGTCTTGCCAAAAAGTTGCCTCTAAAAAGAGATTATTGGATCGGAAACAGAAGTGCTTTACAATTTTTGACTACTTCAGCAAATTAGCTCTCATTTTTACACATTCTATTGGACCCGTCGTAATGTTTAGAGACACTTATACATTTAAAGAGGGACATGCACGCTTTACAATGGTACCTTAAAACCTTGACCTGATCAATAATGTTGAAAATATCATGAAGTTTAATTCTGACAATTTCTTCCATTGTTCCTGCAGCGGAAACAATTAGTTATAAAAGAGAAAATCATAGATATCATTCTGGATCAAACAAAGATTGTAAGGATATTCATTTCAATTCCTTGTGAAACTGGGAAGCCACTTTATTTATAGAAGGATCACTGTTAATGATTTAAAAAAAATTATAGCATTAAATATTAGTAAAAAATTTCAGTAACGCCCTTTTGAAGCAGGGTGTGGTTTTTCTACTCTCTGTTGTAGACGTTCTGAACATAAAAGTTTAAGCGCACAAGTAGAAAATAATTTTGATGCAAACCGTTGCAAAACTTGCAACACCTTGCAAATTCTGGTTTAGCCAACTTGAGCAAATTTACGATANCTTCAAACAATCCTCCTGCCAGGCGAAAGTATAAAGTCCTATCATATAAAGATGATTAAATGTGAAATTTATAAAATTTCATTTAAATTCAGCCTGAGATTGAAACTTTTAAATGCACGGAGTTTTCAGCTCAATTGAACCGATTAGAATCATTTCTGTCACTGCGATCAGAGCTTGTAACTTTTGAATCAACTGAAAAGATCAATAAAGAGGAGAATAAGCCTTTTTTTACAGGGTAACCCCAAAAAATGAGACAATTTTACAATTCAAGGTTTGCACATATTTTTTTTCATTTCAAATTTTTTTATTAAAGTTTTATACAACATTGTAACCAACCAAGCAAACAAGCAAGCAACAAACCAACCAATCAACCAACCAACCGACCAGTAAACAAATCCTGCAGATATGTCTAAGCTGGAATTGACATTAAACTTATTAAGCTAGAATCTATGCATTTAATTCTTGATTATGCTAATGTATAATTAAACTAAGAAAAGTTAGTTTATGTTNAACCAACCAACCAACCAACCAACCAATGCACTTTAGGAGGTTTGGTTAAACAGTCAGAAAAGATCTGGTTCTATCTCACAGCTGGAGGATATAGCCTCCAGAATAGAGACCAGCCTCAGGAGTTCGGAGAATCCTTTTCATCCGGATAATCCAGAGGGGTCAATCATTAAGGTCAGTTGAAGGTCAATCATTAAAGTTGATCATTTAAGTCAACTAAGAAATGTAACAATTGTATGTTAACCAGGGTTTACTTATAAAGTTTAGCAGAATATCTTAAAACGATCAATGAATTCGTTTAAAAACGTCACCAAGACTTTTTCATGCTTTACCATTGCTCTACATATAATCAATTCCTTTTATTAATTTGCTCAAATGAGTTGTTGAGTTTCTTTTATAGTTTATTTTTAGGATTTGTTGCTGAAAACACGTGCTGGTATTCTGACTACTCCAGCCCTAATGCATGCTGCAAAGGAGCTTCAGGTAAATATTTAAATGAAAATAAAGGGGATGTTGGCGTAATTTCAAGTAATCCTTTTTTACCCGGCCTTTAGATATATGCCTGAGAGAAACGGTAAATTGTGTCTGAAAATTTATTAATTTTAATTGGGGTTCTCTGTACAAAAAAAACGAAATTTTCTCCTTTAGATCACATTATTTTTGATATTATGATTCGTCCCAGCTATCCTACAATTCATCAACATTATTCTTTGTTTTTGTTTCTAGAATTTAAATAAATGTGCATTAATCATTTTTGTTTGAACATTTTAAAGTTACAAATTTACATATTTTTAGGACAAAGAATTTTTAAACCGTCCTGAAGTCCAAGCAGTTCTAGATCAAGGACAGCAAAGACAAGATCAAGGACAACAAAGATCAGATCAAGGACAACAAAGACAAGATCAAGGACAACCAAGACCAGATCAAGGACGACAGCAACACAGACAAGATTCAATTAAACCTAAACCTGAAGCTTCAAGATCAGAAACCCAGAATATTTGTAAGTATTTTTTAGTAGTTTTTTTTTACTAACGTAATTATCAAGGATTAATTTTATAAATAAATACTTTTGTTTAGATATAGACGTAAGTAAGTCTGATGACCGGCCTGCTGCGCCTGAAGTACGGCAGGGGTCATCAGCTGAGCCTGAGCTACGGCAGGGGTCCTCAGAATCCATGGATATCCCTATGCCGCGTTCTATTCTCTACCGTCCGTCGTCTTCCGAATCTTTAACATGTAACCTATGCCAGGTAAGCAACTTTTTTTTGATTAATGTTTAAAATTTAATTATCTTCTATACTTTTTGTTTTCAGGTTACAAATTTGGAGAACATTGAAATTCATAAACGCCATTTTTGCAAAAATAACCAAGGAGTATCGGAAGCTAACACATTATACAGGTATTATTAAATCTGAAGAGTTTATTATTCCTAGTTGCAGTACAGTACAGTTACTTTCTGGTTTTAGACCCAACAGTACAGTGTCGCATACCAAAGCAAGTCCAACTCATCGAAGACGATCTGACTCGATTAATGCCGCGCAACCGGCGCAGAAGAGACCGAGAACAGACAGTGTCTCTGCTTCTACTAGTCAACTGTTCTTCGAGACAGGTAAGGACATTAATTGATAATTCCGGTTCCATCGGGATTCCTCCCATGCAGAATTCCTCCCACGGGATTCCTCCCATGGGATTCCTTCCACCAGGATTCCTCTCACACTGGATTCCTCCCCCATGTGATTCCTCCCAAACGGGATTCCTCCCCAATAGGATTCCTCCCACACGGGATTCCTCCCACAGGATTCCTCCCACATGGGATTCCTCCCACAGGATTCCTCCCACATAGGATTCCTCCCACAGGATTCCTCCCACACGGAATTCCTCACACACAGAATTCCTCCCATTGAATTCCTCCCACTGAATACAGTGTACATATTTTAATACTTTATTGGAGCAGCTGACAATCTAGCTTCAAACAATCCTCCTGCCAGGCGAAAGTATAAAGTCCTATCATATAAATATAAAAAATGAGAAAAAAATATAGTATATAGTATATTTATAAAAAAAAATTTATTTTAGATTAGTTTACTAATTTTCTTTTGAATCAATATTTCCTATCTTTTAAAAATACTTCCACTTCTAAAATATTCTTTCCTAAAAAAAAATAAAAAAAGGCATGCTAAAATACTTGACCTCCTCGTAGTGCATGCTGGTTCAGACAGACAAAGTATTAAATCATACATGATCACTATAATATTATCAAATACAGGGATCTTATCAGATGTGGATCCTCAGTTTACAACTGTGGGAGGAATCCTGTGTGGGAGGAATTCCATGTGGGAGGAATTCCATGTGGGTGGAATCCTGTGTGGGAGGAATCCCATGTGGGAGGAATTCTGTGTGGGAGGAATCCCATGTGGGAGGAATCCTCTGTGGGAGGAATTCCATGTGGGAGGAATCCTGTGTGGGAGGAATCCTGTGTGGGAGGAATCCCATGTGGGAGGAATCCTGTGTGGGAGGAATCCCATGTGTGAGGAATTCTGTGTGGGAGGAATCCCATGTGGGAGGAATTCTGTGTGGGAGGAATCCCATGGGAGGAATCCCGTGTGGGAGGAATCCCGTTTTGGAGGAATCCTGTTGGGAGGAGTCCCATGGGAGGAAGCCTGTTGGGAGGAATTCCATGACTACCGATAATTCCATCTCATCAAATAATTTAAAAACTATTAAAAAAAGCAAGAACGGTTAGCAAAGAAATGACTGAACAGGAAAAACAAAAACATCAAAGAAATACAAATAAAAAAAATATTTCTTGTTAATTTTAAGTGCTGTCCGTTTTTTAGGACTAAACCCGATTTACAATGGTACCTTTTAAACCATCATCTGACCTCGAATGTGGAGGATATCGTTGTTAGTCTAGCTCAAAAGTGTTGTTAGCATAAATCTATAAGTCACCTTAACAGAGCAACTTTCATTGCAAGTGATCAATTTTCAAAGAGAAAAATATTGATAAATCACTGATTCTTGTCACACAAAGCTTCAAAGGGAAACGTTATTAATCGTACATTCTCCACATCATAAGTAACATTTAAACAGGACCATGTCCGATTCACATAGTTACTCTTAATCAAGGATGTAAGGCAAGGAAAGTCATTTCAGAAGTGTACACATCTTTAGTACTGCAGTGTACTGTCTCTGGGCGCTTATGTAAACACAAGACGGATGTCGAAGCCTGACATGGGATCCATCATTCACATAAAAAATCAATGAAATATTCTGGTCATAGGAAATTATTATGTGAATTATCAAAATTATCAAAATTTAATGCTTTTAACCTCCTCGGATACTAAACGAACACTGATGCATCTATTATTGTTTACAAATTCCGCCCAGAGAGAACTGGTTTCAATATGTACACAGAGTATACACAACCGCAATTGCCTTTCCTTGCCTTACATTCTTGCTCTTAATACCTTTATCTGATAGATAATATGAAACATATCGTTGTTTTTCTTGCTTTAAAAGTGTTAATTTTTTGGTTTGGAGGGTCACTTGAAATGCCTTGAACAGTCCCTTTAAAGATATTTATCCTTATTATTATATTCCAGGTAAAAGTGAAGGTCTACTACAGATTGCAACTGTACGATGTAGTCCTGATCATTCTAGATCATTTAGCGATCATTCTAGATCATCGACCACAACTGTTAGCTCCGTTTCAGGTAATAGTTTTAGATAGTTTTATCACCTTTTTTACTTTTTCTGCTAACATGGAAAATAAACGTTTCCCGAGAAAGAAACACCAAGAAAAATATTATTTTTAAGTAACGTTTTTTCCCTTTTTATCATAACTTTGAAGGAGATAATTTGATATTTTTTTTGAGTTTAAAGATAATTAATTGAATAGATAGTGTTCTAAGCATAAATAAATTTTTATGAATTTAATTCTCTGAGTTGTAACTTGTTAAAGCTTTAGTCATATTAAGATTTAAAAAATTAAGCATTATTTCAAGTTGTGTACCTACATTTATATATCTATGTATTCCTACTCCAACCTATTTATATATCTATGTATTCCTACTCCTACCTATTTATATATCTAGGTATTCCTACTCCAACCTATTAATATATCTTGGTATTCCTACTCCAACCTATTTATATATCTAGGTATTCCTACTCCAACCTATTTATATATCTAGGTATTCCTACTCCAACCTATTTATATATCTTGGTATTCCTACTCCAACCTACATTTATATATCTATGTAATCCTACTCCAACCTATTTATATATCTATGTATTCCTACTCCAACCTATTTATATATCTATGTATTCCTACTCTAACCTATTTATATATCTAGATATTCCTACTCCAACCTATTTATATATCTTGGTATTCCTACTCCAACCTATTTATATATCTATTTATTCCTACTCCAACCTATTTATATATCTATGTATTCCTACTCCAACCTATTTATATATCTTATGTATTCCTACTCCAACCTATTTATATATCTGTGTATTCCTACTCCAACCTATTTATATATCTATGTATTCCTACTCCAACCTATTTATATATCTATGTATTCCTACTCCAACCTATTTATATATCTAGGTATTCCTACTCCAACCTATTTATATATCTTGGTATTCCTACTCCAACCTATTTATATATCTTGGTATTCCTACTCCAACCTATTTATATATCTAGGTATTCCTGCTCCAACCTATATTTATATATCTTTGTATTCCTACTCCAACCTATTTATATATCTAGGTATTCCTACTCCAACCTATTTATATATCTTGGTACTACTACTCCAACCAATATTTATATTTATTTCAAGTTCTGTACCTAAATTTATATATCTAGGTATTCCTACTCCAACCTATTTATATATCTTGGTATTCTTACTTCAACCTATTTATATATCTAGATATTCCTATTCCAACCTATATTCATATATCTAGGTATTCCAACTCCCAACCTGTCTGGAATTCTGACCGGTATTAAACCGCTGCCACTGTTTTCTCTACCCGGAGTAAGGATGGATCCGAAACATGATGATAAAACTGTCCCATTTGTTCTTGGTATCCCTGGACCCTACTCACAACCCTCCAGTAGGCCATTGACCTCTTTAACCTCCAGCATATCCTTAACATCAACCTCTAGCCTCCAATATTCCAACTCCAGTTATCTTAGCGGAGTAAATCTCCCAACTCGTATAACAAGCAGTCCTACACAGTCCTTTCAAACCATCACCTCCCCTCCTCCCTCCCTCCCTAGTGGATATATACCTGCTGGTCAGCTTGGGTTCATTAAACCATCGGACTCCCTTCCAACTCTGCTGAGCCCTATACCCCCTAGGGAGCGTCACCTTTCAGCCCCTTCTAACAGATCTCCTAAACCTGACCCTAAACCAACTCTTGACATTGATGTTAAAAGACCTCAAAGTTTACCGCTTGGTGGTCCATTGTCACTGAAAAAGAACATAACTCTCTCGGGCGCCTCTTTAATCAGTCCAGAAACACCAAGGTAAGAGTTAATATTTAGAAATTATTTTAAATTAATCAAGAATTTTGAACAAAAATAACATGTTTCTTAATATTGTAAGAGCATAACCCTCCATGTAAATTGTAAAGATGACAATGCCCAATTCACAACGGTACCCTTGTCTGATCAAGTATGAATTAGAGATATCAATATTTATAATTTTGAAAATTAATTTCTTTCAATTGTTGTTTTCTACTAAAGTGCCCATTTCTGAATCAACATTTAAACCTAGAATAACGTTTTTTGATAAAATAAATGTTTCAAGGGTACCGTTGTGAATTGGGAATTGCCATCTTTGCATGAAGGGTCACTTGAAACTACTCGCACAGTCCCTTCAATGTAAACTTTGTTTTTTGTAGGCCAAAGAAGCCATATGTACTGCACTACCAGAACGGCACAGCGTACACATATCTGGGGTTAAAGTGTTCAACCAGAGTATTCTTTTGCTCAATTCATAAGGTTAGTTTTTAGATTTCAAGGATTTTACAGATCAAGTTCCGTGGATTTCTAAATTTTTTCTAATTTGTTAAAGAATTCAGAAAGTTGTTTTTTAGTTTTTAGTTTATATAAAACAGCTGATATTGATTTTTATGTTTAAAAAGGTTACTTGTTAATTGGATTTTTGGAATTATTATAATTTCTGGACATATTCTTCCAATTCATTTAATCATTTTGATCATTATTCATGTTTCTTTATTCTTATTTGTTCATTCATCATTTGAACTACCTATTCAGTAGTTCAATTTTTTATTTCAGGCTCAACCTAATTATGTAGAGTTGGAAAAGAACTCCACAGTATCAATGTACTCCAACTGGAAGGTATTCAGTAAGGACTCCCACCCCTCGGGACTACCTCCTCAGACCGGAATGGCATCATATATATCAAACCCTAAAGAAAATTACAAGGTAAAACAATTTACCATTCAAGAAATTACTGAGAAATATTTGAAAAAATAGTTTTTAAATTAAAGATTAAATCTATTTTTTTCACATTTCCTCCCAAATATGATACTTTTATATTTTATCGATTTAAAGAAAAATTTAGTAAATTTTTTTATTCATACAATTGTATTATAAAATCTTCAGTTTATAAAGGTTAATTTTATTAACCCTTTTAATAAATTCTAAATTTATCCAAATATGTAAATATCTGTTGTATTGAAGGACTTGTCTGAAATACATAAATATCTGTTGAATTTAAGTGCTTATTTGAAATATTTGAGTAATATTGAAGGGCATGTATGCTTCAATTATATTAAGTAAGTCCTGTATTATAGGGTTTCCTGCTTGTATGTAAATAAAAATGTATTAAAATATTACAGGGCTTGTATGAAATACATAAATATCTGCTAAATGACAGGGCTTATATGAAATATTTAAATAAAATTAAAGGGCATTAATAATATTAAAGGTGTCCTGTATTATAGAGCTTGTTTGTGTGTATATTCTAAATGTGCTAAAATATTAAAGGGCTTATATGACAGATGTAAATATTTGTTGTATTAAATACATGAAATACTTAGATATCTGCTGAATCTTATCTTATTAAATATTTAAATAATAGGAAAGGGTATTTATGAAATATTTCAATGTTATTAAAGGGCATGTAAGAAATATTTCAATTTTATTAAAGGGCATGTATGAAATATTTCAATGTTATTAAAGGGCATGTATACTGTGGCAGCTCCAGCTAGATCTCAGATGATAACCTCGCACTCCTCCACCTGGAGGGATAGAAGGGAGAATACAGAGAAACCAGAGGTTAGTAGTCACTTGAAGTAAGGTCAGAGGTAGTGATAGGTAATCAGTGGTAGTCATATTTAGTCAGAGGTACTCAAAGCCAGTCAGAGGTAGTCATATGGGTATGGATTTCCAGTGGTCAGAGGTAGTCACAGGTGGACAGGAGTAGTCATAGGTAGTCAGGAGTAGTCATTGGTAGTCAGGGGTAGTCATAGTTAGTCAGAGGTAGTCAGAAATAGTTTTGGGTAGTCAGAGGTAGTCAGGGGTAGTTAGAGGTAGTCAGGGGTAGTCAGAGGTATATAGGGGTTGTCAGAGGTATTTAGGGGTTGTCAGAGGTAGTCGAGGTAGTCAGAGGTATTCAGAGGTAGTCAGGGGTAGTCAGGGGAAGTCAGAGGTAGTCAGGGGTAGTCATTGGTATTTAGGGGTGGTCATCGGTATTTATGGGTAGTCAGAGGTAGTCAGTATATTTGTTATATTAAAGGAGGACAGCGTGAAATCTGTATGTTTGTTGTATTAAAGGAGGACAGCGTGAAATCTATGTATTTGTTTATATTAAAGGAGGACAGCGTGAAACCTATATATTTGTTTATATTAAAGGAGGAAAGCGTGAAATCTATGTATTTGTTTATATTAAAGAAGGACAGCGTGAAATCTATATATTTGTTTATATTAAAGGAGGACAGCGTGAAATCTGTAACTGCTGTGGAAGGAGGGTTTAAGAGTAGTGATGATAACTACACTTACATCAGAGGTAGTGAAATCATATTTATATTTAAAATTTTGATATTTATTTGGAACATATTGATATTTTTATATTCATCGAATCAAAGGTTGTCTTTTAATAATATTAATAATAATATATAACTAAATATTATAACATTTGAATAAATTATAACGATATTGAGAACTGTTTGGACGTTTAATAGATTTGATATGATTTTATTTCAAAATTAACCGACATACACAATAAATTCTTAAGGACTGATGAAAATAAAAATTAACAAACTTCATAATATACAGGGTGTCCCATAAAACATGGGAATTAAGTGACGAATTCGATATCGTCTTTGTTATGAATCAGCAGTGTAATGTAATACCTAATTTCAAAAGCCATACTATTATTATGTCTGCTAGAGTTTATTTTATGAGAAGGGTTGGTTAAAGACTGTAAAGTTGTGTCTATAATGTCTCCGCAAGATGAACAGTAAAGACGGACAAGTTTACTCTGTTTCTATACTGCAATTTTCTTGTTTTACTAAGTACACCCTTATGCAGTCAAAACATAAACAAACAAATTGTAAACATAGCAGACGAAACTCTTACAGATTACAGCTTTCTCAGTAGGTATAACTATACTAAATCAAAGAATTATTTAAAAAGACGATATCGAATTCGTCACTGAATTCCCATGTTTATTGGGACACCCTGTATGTTGCGCATTATACCAATTTGGATTTTGTATAATTATATATTAACCTAGGTCGAGGGCGTGGAAAGTATATTTGTGACTCGTGTGGAATCCGTTGCAAGAAACCGTCAATGTTGAAGAAGCATATTAGAACTCACACCAACGTGAGACCGTACACCTGCAAGTATTGCAACTTTAGTTTCAAGACTAAAGGGAATCTGACCAAACATATGAAGTCCAAGGCACACAGTAAGAAGTGTGTAGAGCTAGGTAAAGGGAATGATAATGATTTTTAATAAGGTTTTCAGGATTAGTCATTAATGTCTGAGAGAACCGGTTTAATAGATTTAAGGGAACTGTTGTGGATGATTAATTGCGCCACGAATTATTATTATTATTATAATTATTATTATTATTATTATTATTATTATTATTATTATTATTATTATTATTATTATTATTATTGTTATTATTATTATTATTATTATTATTATTATTATTATTAATTTGCCCGATTTACAAGGGAACCCTTTATAATGATATCCTTGGTAGAATTCAACACTCTTTATGATAGAAAACCCAACGATATCTTCTTCATTGTTGCTCACTGAACGGAGTAAAGGGAACCGTTGTGAATTAAACACGTTCACTTTAATATCGATCAATTCGTAATCATTGCTTTAAATAATACAATTTTACAATTTGTTCAAATATTTTGGTATTTTAAGGGGTTTTAAATAGAGGCTAAATACGGTTCTAGATAACCACTTCTGTAGAAAATATTGTAACCAATTGTATCAAATTTTAATTTTTATTTTGATTCCACATTCATATTTCTAAAATATTGCCTGGACACATGTCAAAATAAACCGGTTTTTTCTTCTTCATACTTCTTCGAATGATATTAATCTTCAAATTTTCAAATGGTTTCGTTGTTCTATTTCATATGAACAACAACTCGACTAATCGGGTGCAAGGGAAGGTTTATGGTTGGTTGAAATTTTAATTGATTGCTACAAGAATATTTGAGACTTTTATTAGTTTCATGATGTACGAAGAAAAGTTGGTTTCATTGAATTGGAAAGCAACATTTATAAGCTAGAGTTTATAACAATACAGTGGTGTTGCAAAGCGTCATAAATAACTATTTATACCACTGTTATTTTGGTTCGCAGTTTTATAGAGTTTTTGGACAGAAATTTTCTCTTTATCGAGATGGTTCAAGCCTTTTTAGATTTAATTTTGTCTCGAGCTTTAGCGAGGGACAAAATATTATTATTATTATTAAAGGACAGCAATATAATCTAAAAAGCTGAGAACTTTCTCCAAAAACTTAATAGCACGTCGTGCCAAAATAATAGTAGTGCTATAGGTAATTTTATGAAACTTTGTTATTTTAATGGCTGTTTCTAGATCAAATAATCGTTGAAACAAAGTAGAAGTCAAAATATAAAGTTGATTTCAATTTAAATTGAAAAAATATTTTGGAAATATCCTGAATTTTGTTGAGAAAATCCGGGAACCAATCAGAACTTTAAAGCACACGTGCTATAATGTACAGCTAATTTAACATTATAGCATGATGATAGCACGTTCATTATGAAACTCACGATGAAATTTCTTAAAAGTCTAAATAGGATTTTTATGTCGACTGTTTGTACTAGGTATTGTTCCTGTACCGACAAGTGTAGAGGATTCTCAACTTGACGACAGTAAGAGTTCCAACGAGAACAATATAGCCGGGGACTCTGATACAGATGACGGGGAGGACGTGGATGATCTTGAGGAGGATGAAGAGGATGAGGTGGAGGAGAAATATGATGCTAGCGAGGGAGGAGGAGGGGCGGCGGCGGGACTAGGTTTCCAGGGATCACTAGGTCTTGCTCCAAGATTTCCCAGATTCTCCTCTTATCCTTTTAACTCCAGTGCAGGTTAGATTTAGTTTAATTTAAGTGTCCTGAATAGATCATCTTCATCCGTCAATGCAAACATTTGAAATACCGAGACAATCTCTGGGCAACTGAGCAAGTTGTATCATTGTATGCATGTAGACGGAGCAAACGGGACAGTGCACTGTACAGTGTACTGTACAATAATGAATCATCCCCATATCCCTCACTAGCAAGAGCAATGTGAACCATACAACACTAAAGCTCATACATTGGACAGGGACATGAACCTGTTATTAACCGAAACTAAACTTTTTAAATTAAATACAATCCCTTTATTTGAACTACATGATAAACAAATGAAATCAGACGCGAACTCAAGTGGGCTTTGGGGGATTTATTCCCCTCTGGATCAGTAAAATGGATAGATTCCAGCGGGTGCTGACTGGCGACTGCTGAGCCCTTCTGAAAAAAAACAAGCCCTCCCTGTACACATTCCTGAGTACACCCTCTTAAATGAAACCTTTATTTTTAATAATAATATACAAATATTTTAGAAATAGACACATTTATCAAAATATATACTCACATATTTGAATACGAGTCAAAACATGGCTAGTTTTTTCATTTACTTTTCTCAGAGTTTACTAGTTCGTAGATTTATTTTTTTTTCGTGGATTTCTTCCTTGCAGACGATATTTACTCCGCTACAATATCTTGATTATTCATGTCTAGGAGGAACACCTAGTAGCATAGAGAAGGACAAAATGAGTGTGAAAATGAACCTACACCAGCAGGATCAAGAAAGAGTTAGTAAAATTACTCAGCTGGCTAGCGGTAAGTAAGACTATAATAATCAGAATTGTAGTATCTTTGTAAATAAAGAAGCTGGAAAAATAATGGGGAAATCTTTAAATTTCAGTGAAAAGAAGAAGATTCGATAAAAAAATAAGTATTTAGTAGTTGAGGGGTAGAAAGTACGATGGGGGGGGGGGTAGTTTATGCGGGTGTGTGTGTGTGGGCTTGAGTGGGATATGGACAAACCTTTGTTGAGGCTTTCTACTACGTAGAAGTTTTGTTGACAAATACGTTTCTTAGAAAAATTCCATTAAGCCTCATACTTCCAGAGTTTTATAGTTTAAACTTTAGATTTCTTAAAACCTAATACATTTTGATAATTAGATGATTATCAATAATGTTTTCCAAAAATATAATTAGTATGCTGATTGGAATTTTTTATATGTTAAAATTAAGTTTATCAAGAAAAACTAATCCTAAAATTTTACTTATTATCATAAATCATCATATTTTCGCATGTTTTTGTTAAATATGATTTTTTGTTCAGGAGTAGGCTACCAGCCGGAAATAAAAACTGAACCGGAAACAGTATACACCGGAAATATGGACACTAGGTAAGAACTATTGATCCCATTGAATGATGTTCATTTGAATTGAGATGATATAGCTGCAATTATAATGTATTAAAATGTATATTAAGGATGACCGCTATGATTTTGATGTATTTATAGGATGACTGCTATGATTATGATATATATATAGGATGACCGCTATGATTATGATGTATATATATATAGGATGACCGCTATTATTATGATGTATGTATAGAATTACCGGTATGATTATGATGTATATATAGGATGACCGCCATGATTACGATGTATATATAGGATGACCGCTATTATTATTATGCTTAGATTGGTTGACCGCGATGATTATGATGTATATATAGGATAACCGCTATGATTATGATGTATATATAGGATGACCGCAACGATTATGATGTTTAGATAGGATGACCGTTATAATTATGATGTATTTAGGATGACCGCTATATGACCTCTATGCTTATGATTTATATATAGGATGACCGCTTTGATTATGATGTATGTATAGAATGATCGCGGTGATTATGATGCATCTATAGGATGATCGCTTAGATTATGATGTAGGTTGCCGTTTATGATCATGATGTATGTTTTAATAACCGCCATGATCTATATTTACATGTATAGGATGACCGTTGTGCCTGCAAGGTCAAGTTATCTGCATGAACCTGGATTTCAGCTGTCGCAGTATCCTACTCAATCTGACCCACAGCAGCCACATTATCCAACACAACCTAATCCACAGCTGCTCGGCAGCAAGGAAAGATATTTTCATAACAACATACCTGAGAAAGCAAGAAATGGCGATAAAAAATTCCTTCACGTTAAGGAAAGGTAGTGTGGCCGGGGTAAGGATTGTGAATGTCAAATATGTAAATTAGAATTATAAACATTTCTCCTTTTGTACCTTAGTATTGTACTTTAAAAAACAAATTTGGCTAATAAAGGATTTGAGGATGTAAATTGTACAATTAGGTGAAAAGAAACCAAAGAAGCAAAATTATAAAAGTGCAGGGATTCTTTTAAGTTATGAAATATCTTGATGGTTCAGATGGGTTCTGATCTTAACTCACCCTCCAGCCTCTACACTTCTCGACCTAGATTCATACCTGGTGAACCTCCAGGTCAACCCTCCAATAGCCTCCGATATCCTCCAAATCTACAGAATCCTCTCTCCGACCTTCAATATCGTCCTAGTCCCCAAATTGCCTCCACTGGTCTGCAGTTTGCTCCTTCCAACCTCCAGTATCCTTCATCTAGTCTTCGGCATCCGGCCTTAAGCCTCCAAATTCCCCCGGGTATCCTCCAACGTCCTCCATCTAGCCTCCAAACTTCTGGACCTGAATCTGAAAACTCAGAGCGACTTCAAACATATTTACAGGTTTTCTTTTTTACATTTATTTTTTCAAATTAGAAAATTACTCTCTTTCAATCAAATGCAATGTAGTCGATTGCTTTCAAGTTTTTTTTTGATTATGAAAAAAACGTAATTTTAAAAGAAAAAAAAATGAAAATATCATTTCCAAATTCTAAAAAATGCCATTTTAATAGAAAAATAATTGATGTTTATGATCTGTGAGCCATGAAGACTAGACATCACTCATAGAACCTATCCACCTTATGATTTTTTGATTTTTGATTTATTGGTGATCTTCCTGTGTCACCCTAATGAAGAGCCGGGAGCTGCCGACCATAGCAGTGTTGATCGGGATTTATTGTTCGAGCCGATTCTGTCCACCTATAGGACTGAATCCTAGTCACTATTTGCTTATAATAATAGTATTAATACAAAATGATCTCGGCATAATTGTCAAATTTCTGAGACCTCTAAACATCTAATTTATATTTTAGGAATACGCTGCTTTTAAAGCTAAACAAATCAATACCCAGTTCCAATCAAAGGTGAACTTGTTATTTTTATTTTCCAGATCATTCCTTTTTTCTTTAAATCCTCGTTAAATCCTATCAGAATATTTATTATCAATTAAACAAATCTATATATATTGTATGTATATTGGTTTATAGTTTGTCAAATTTTGATTGGGGAAAAATAAGCTCCAGGCAAAACTGGGTTCTAACTTCCCAAGCCACTCTAAGTTATAAATTACAAAAATATGATTAAACTTTTTTCTTCTTCTTTTATAGATAGTAAAAGAAGAACTACCTGAATCTGTTGAAGGAGAGTCTAGGGCAGATATAAACAATCCCACACCTCCCAACCAGCCTCAACCCTTCCGCCCTGTGGCAGCTGATTGCCCTGATATTGACGTGGCAGATGAATCTCAGGATTCTGAGGCGGGTACAAGGAAAGAATATGTTCATAGTTTCGGCCATCAGACAGATTCAATACCACAGGTTTATTATTATTGTTATTGTTATTGATATTATTATTATTGTTGTTGTTGTCGTCGTTGTCGTTGTCGGCATCATTATTGTCAATATATCGTCATTAGCATCCATATTGTCATTATCGTCATTATCGTCATTATCGTCAATATAGTCATATAGTCATTATCGTAGTTATTGTCGTTATCATTGTTATCGTCGTTATCTTCATTATCTTTGCTATTGTTGTTATTGTTGTTATCGTTGTTATTGTCGTTATCGTCGTTATCATTGTTATCGTCGTTATTGTTGTTATCGTCGTTATCCTCGTTATTGTCAATATTGTTTTATTGTCATTATCGTCATTATTGTTATTATCGTTATTATCGTTAGCTACGAATCTTGTAAGTTACATGGAAAGACACGGAATGTACATAGATGCACTGAAAGTTAAAAATTGTTATTATTGTTAGTATTATTATCATTATTATCATTATCATCATAATTATTGTCTGTATTTTTATCCTTATTTTTATCATTTATAATTTTCATGTTATTTGTATAATTATTTGTAATGTTTAGTATTTAATTGTTAAGAACGTAACAATGAACGTGAAAGATATTCCGAACTTCCTGCCTGGGCATACTCTACCCCCACCACCAGAGTTTAATATTCCAACCATCAATAAGGAACTTGATTCAAAAATATTTATCACCATTATTGTTTATTTTCCGCCATCTTGGATTGTAAGCAATTTTTACCACCATTTTAAAATCTTTCACCATTTTTCTAGTGTTCTTAAATTTAATAAAAAAATATTTTCAGAACTCAAATATGGGGGGGGGGGCACACTTCATGTTTTTGATGATGAAAATTTGAATGAATGCTTTAACAGGCCGAAAGTCCTTTAAGAAAACCTGATTTAAAAGCGCGTGTGTCAGATACCGGAAACAGACCTGCGGAAATAATCGGCCGACAGCAGGATTCGGCCGGAGTTGGTGGTGGCCGGTCTACGGATAGTCCGGCAAGCACGAGTTCGACAGAGAATGACGAGGGCCGCGCTACTCGACAAATTGAAATATTTCAAATTAACGAAGACGGGAAGAGTGTTTGCGGGATTTGTAGCAAGGTAACTAACTTCTACTGAAAGATTTCGAATTACAATCATATAATTTTTTTTAAAATGTTTTAAACACTGTTGGACTCGTTGGACTAGTATATAAGTGAGGAACGGGGGTAATTAGAATAATATATTATCAGAAAATATAAGTTACCTTTTAATAAACAAAAACAATACAAAGTAATGACTTGAAATTCTAATTGAAATTTGAATTTGATATGAAATTTCAACATTACAGAGGTAATGTTTCCCCAGCTGTTAGGTATATATTTCATGTTTTAGGAGAACAAAAATTATTTTTAAAGGTATCATAAAGTGGTGAAAAAAAACTTGGCAGTTGATGTTTAAGTTTTGTGTTGTTTCGGCAGATCATCAAATGTTTGTTCTTCCCAGTGACGAGGGAGAAGGGGGGGGGGGGTTGATTCTACATAAATATGTATATTTATAACATTTTAATATTTTAGATCTTCTCTAAATCCTCACAACTTCGTCTTCATGTTAATATTCATTACTTCGAGCGCCCGTTCAGATGTGACTCCTGTGCTGTTAGTTTTAGGTAATTTAGTTTTTCTCAAAATTATTTGAAATACGATTTTTTTCTTCAAACTTTTGTTTATTTATTCATGTAAGGGGGAAAACGCGTTTTTAAAAACTTTAGCTTTTAACTGAAAGAAAGAAGATTAACGAAATGTCGGTCCCTCCCTTTTAAAATTGTTCCTCATAGTTTTAAATTATATACAGTATCCTCATGAAAGCCTAGTTTTTAAAAACTTTTGGAGAAGAAAATGCGCTAAATTTATATCATGTGACGTCATTCTTCAGGACTAAAGGTCATCTTCAGAAGCATAAGAGGTCAGTAGGACACTTCAACAAGGTCAACATCAACGCAACCTTTGGGGCTCCGTCCACTGACAACCCCAGGCCCTTCAAGTGTGTAGACTGTATGATAGCATTCAGGTAGGTCTTGTTTGTTTACATTTCAACCTGATATTTGTTTACGTTTTAACTTTTTTATTGTTAACATTTAAACCTTTTTATTGTTTAAATTTCAAGCTTTTTATTGTTCACATTTAAACTTTTTTATTGTTTACATTTCAAGCTTTTTATTGTTTACATTTGTTTACATTTAAATCTGGGGATTGTTTACATAATTTAAACCTGCATTTTGTTTACATTTCAACCTGTTGTTTTTATACATTTCTACCTTCTGTTTGTTTAAATTTCAACCTTTTGTTTGTTTACTTTTTAACTGTGGTTTGTTTACATTTCTAACTATTGTTTGTATAAATTTCAACCTGTTGTTTGTTTACATTACAATCGGTTGTTTGTTTACATCTCAACCTTTTGTACCTGTTTGTTTGCATAAAAAATTAATTTTTACATATTAAGGATCCATGGACATCTAGCAAAACATTTAAGATCCAAACTGCATATAATGAAGCTTGAGTGCCTGGGAAAACTGCCTATTGGCATGTATGCTGAAATGGAAAGACTAGGAACTAACCTAAACGAGATTGATACAACCGACTGCGAGAACTCGTTAGAAAGTTTACAGGTTGGTGTAAGCCTTAGTGTAATTTAAAGGGACGCTAATGCAAAGATGACAATGTCTGAGTTTCAACGGTAGCCTTAAAAGCTTTGTCTGATCAAGTATGAATCAGACATGCATGATTTTGATCAATTTAAACAGCGATTTAATTTGGGGCTTCTCGGCGAAAGTGATTCGCACATTTCTTACTTTTTATTTTTAATAGAGAAATTGACAGAAATAGATTCTATTCTAGCAAAACGCATGATCTTCCATATTTTTTAACAGATTAAGGTTTCAACGGTACGGTTGTAAATCGAACATTTTCATCTTTGCATGTGGCATGTGGGGTCACTAAAAATTACCCTTTAGTCTGTTTTTATCAAAAAAAATATTTTGTTAAAATGTTACAGTTTTACAAGACTTTTAATGTTTAGCAAATGGCAGTGAAGTTGTATGAGAAGGATCCGAGTAAGCTGACAAGTCTGGAGGATGGAATCCCGAGTATCGGAGCTGGATCTGATCTCTCCGAGGACGAGGATTCAAACCCTGCTCCGGAGACCGGGTTGCAGCAGACCCAGGAAAACTTGAACCTGAATCCTGAAACAGTTCTTAATCCTGATATTAAAGAAGAACCCGGGGTTGAGGTATTTATTTAGATATGAATTTTTTAAACAAAACATAATTTTTATATGAAAAGTTATTATTTTTAATGGGAGTATCGGAAAACCAGCTTTTTATTCTATTTGAATATTTTGTTGTTGTGTTTGATCATTATTTACTATTATCTCATATTCCAGATGGGACAGGAGGAAGTTAGGCATGACCATGAGAGACTTCATGCCAGACAGACCCCAGAGTCCATTTTACAACCCTCTGAACAGTTGAGAAGTACACCTGAACAACAGTTAATAAGAAGAACACCTGAACAACAGTTAATGAGGAGAACCCCGGAACAATTTACGAAAAATCCGCAAGAGGCGTACCAAAAAAATCCACAAGAACAGTTTCTAAGACGGCCCCCGAGTAATCCGCCAACATTTTTGTCTCAGGCTTCGTTTCAGCCTGGGGCAAGGATGGAGGACGGCAGGGATTTTAGCACGAGGCCGGGGAGAGATGCAATTTATTCACCTTCCTTTGTTAACTATGAATCACAGGTAGAATTTTCAAAATAACTTGTTATTTTGAAATTGTCATTTAATACTTCTTTATTCTTCAAATGTTATTTCATTTTCAGGGTTCAAGAGTTCTTTATGAGGAACGAGTTATTATGGACGAAGGACGGAGAAGGGGTGAGAGAATGATTATGGACGAAGGACGAAAAAGGGATGAAAGACCGATACGTGATGAGGGACGGAGAAGGGATGAGGGAATGATTATGGATGAAGGACGGAGAAGAGATGAGGTACGGATGATGAATGATGAAAGAATGAGGGAGGAAGACATGAGAAGAGATTCTGCAAATATTGTTTGTCATATTTGTAGTTTGGTTCTCCCGTCAGAATCTAGTTTTCAGCAGGTAAATAATGGATATTCGAGATGTTATTGAGCGAGGGTAAGCATTAAAAACCCTTTCGAAACAAATTATTAACTTCCAACTTCACTGTCGAGACATTCTAACCATTTCTATTAATATTTTTAAATTTTACAAAGATGTTAAAATTAAGAATTGTTTTAAGATATATTTTTTTCAGCATCTGGCGACTCATAGCAAACCTAGACCGTACATCTGCCAGCACTGTGATGCAGGGTTTAGTTCAGTTCATCAACTTAATAGTCATGTAGCCTTGCATCAATCATACCAGAATTAGTGTCTCCTATCGGAATTTAAAATTGCGCAAACTTGTGCAGAATTACAGGGCTCGCAATTGCACGTAAGAAAAACAATGGAATAATATTATTTTGTATTTTATATGCAATTCTCAATATCCTGCATCTTATACACTTTATGTACATTGTACGCTGCACGGGGTACAGAATAATATATTGATTCAGTCTGTTATTTAAAATTCATTCTTTCTACTTACCTTGTTTAATATTTTTTTAATTTAAATTAAAGATTCAAAAATTGAAAGAGAAGAGAACATAGATTTTCAATGCTTAATTTGTTAGGTCTCCCTCGGGAACTAACGTTGACTTTAGATATATAATATTAAAATACAAATTATATAAAGGCTCGTGAAGTTTATAATATTTGATGATATATTATAAATGCTATTTTGTAAACTGTGATTTAAATAGTTCTAATATAATTTCAATAAATACATTCAGAATTAGAAATATTGATATTTTCGAATATAAATTTATAGTTTTTTATGTAAATATCTATTCGTATTCATGAAAATATCAAGACGTTATTAAATATATCTAGTCGTTTTCATGAAAATATCAAGACGTTTGAAACATATTTAGTCGTTTTCATGAAAATATCAAGACATTTTTAAACATATCTAGTCGTTTTCATGAAATTATCAAGACGTTATAAACTATATTAAGTCCTTTCTATGAAAATATCGTCATTATTAATCATATCTAGTCGTTTTCATGAAAATATCATGACGTTATTAAACATATCTAGACGTTTATCATAAAAATATAAACACTTTTTTTTTCTAAAATATAAAGTAGCTAACCAGTAACCATAAAAATGTGAAGAATTTTTTTATTGTTAAGTTAAATGGATTCAAAACGAAAATTGATGAAGTAGAAACGGTTTAAATAACGGTTTAATAATTAGTAGGCTATAACCACCTGGCCACCCCTGAGTGTCCACAAATAAATTCAGCCCAATCGGTCCAGCCGTTTGGCCGGCTATATACAATATATATATATATATATACACGAATATTTTGTTTTTTATGGATTTCAGATAAAATGTGAAATATATAATATAATCAGATGGGTCTCCAAACTAATTTAATTGAACCAAAAATGTATTATTTGCGACAGCAGGAAATGTTGGTATTTTATTGACAAAACTTAAGTTTTATTTTCAGATAGAATGGCAGAGATGGTAAAAAACGAATCCGATGTTAAGGACGTTGAGACAACCTCTACTGTAGAGGAAACATGTTTTGTTGATATACAAAAAGATGAAATAAAGCTGGTAAATACAGTAGTTCAAGGTAAATTTTATTTTAACTAGAAATTCAAGGCGCTTCGCGCCCTTCTTTCTAGGCTTTTAGGGCGCTACGCGCCCATCTTCTATTTAAATTGTGAACATGTTCTTTTTGTTTACATTTCAAAACAAAGATGAAAAAAATTTTGCGGATTTTTAAAAAAAATTCGCGGATTTTCAAAAATTTAAATTTTTTTACAAAATTAAAAACCTTTAAAACACAAAGTTTTAAAATTTCAATCATTCATAAACCTTCCCTGGAGTCCCTAGATGTCCCACAAAAAATTTGGGCCCGATCGGTTCAGCCGTTTTGACGTTTATTGGATACAGACAGACAGACAGACAAACAAACAAACAGACAAGCCAAATTTATATGTAGATAGGAATTACGAATTAAAAAATGTAACAGTTTCTATTTTATAAGCCACACCTTTTTTGAGAAAACCTATGGGTAAATTAGGCTGAAGAAAATTAAACGTTTTTTTTCAAATTTCGATTTTTTAATAATTCCACGGGCAACACCGAGCACTTACGCTAGTCTATATATTATATATTTAAAACTCTTTTTGAATAAAATGTGAAGTTTAAAAACTGAAATATTTAAAGGGTGTCTTTGAAAAAAATTGTTTTAGCCCAAGTAATAAATTTTGCGGAAAATCCGCGGAAATTCCCAGGAATCTTTCACAGGAAAATCCGGTGAAAATGTCGACAGCTATTCCTAGGAATTTCTCATAACCCATTCCGAGGAACCAGGTCCGAGGAATTTCTTGTAACCCATTCCGAGGAAATTCTCATAACTTTATCCAAGGAATTTCTTGTAACCAATTCCATGGAATTTCTTGTTACCAATTCTGCAGAAAAACCGGAGAAAATGTCGACCAGCGATAAGTTCTTCAGAACCAATTCCTGGGAATTTCCTGGGAACTATTCCCAAGATTTTCTCAAGAGTTCCTCAGGAATATCTGCATATTCCTGAGTAAATTCACTACCCAGGACTCAGGCCAAATAGTAGTGAATAACTTAACAACTATATTGCCCCTCCAACTTTTTAAAAGTATAACCATCTTTTTTAGTTAGAAAGTTATAGTTGTTTTTAATCTTACTGAAGTTGTCACATACTTTGCTTATTCAGACAACTGAATTGTAAAGAAAAAATAAAAAAATAAAAAATTTCTAATTTTTTTTAAAAAGATGGTTCTAAAGTAAATTATCATTTTTTATCAATGAGGATGCAAAAAAAAAGATTTAGTTTGGGCAGTGCCAAATAGAAGAGAACCTCAGAGACACCTATTGGAGAAAAACGGAACTGGAAAATTCTGTCTTGAAGTCCTGAGAATTTCTCAAGAATTTCCGGAGAACTATTCCTGAGAAATTCTTAGAAATTTCTTGAGAAAAATTCCAGAGAAATTCTCAGGAATTTCTCGAAATTTATTCTCTTATTTAATTCCCTAAAAATCCGTAAACTTGGTGACCAAGTCCTTAGAATTTCTCAGGAATTTCCGGAGAAGCATTCAGGAGAATTTTTCAGGAATTTCTTGGGGTGAAATTCCAAAGAAATTCCCAGGAACTTCTCGAAACTAATTCTTTTATTAAATTCCCCTTAAAATCTGTCAACATGGTGACCAAGTCCTAAGAATTTCTCAGGAATTTCCGGAGAAGTAATCAGGAAAAATTCTCAGGATTTTCTTAGGGTGAAATTCCGGAGAAATTCCTAGAAATTTCTCGAGACTAATTCTCTTAATAAATTCCCCTAAAATTCCGTAAACATGGTGACCAAGTCCTAAGAATTTCTCAGGAATTTCTGGAGAAGTAATCAGGTGAAATTCTTAAGATTTTCTTGGGGTGAAATTCCGGAGAAATTTCTAGGAATTTCTCGAGACTAATTCTCTTAATAAATTCCCCTAAAAATCCGTAAACATGGTGACCAAGTCCTAAGAATTTCTCAGGAATTTCCGGAGAAGTATTCCGGAGAAATTCTGAAGAATTTTGTGGGGGAAAATTCCGAAGAATTTCTCAGGAATTTCTCGAAACTGAGTCTCAAAACTGTGATCCCAAAAAAATCTCCCATCTCGGGTAGCAATTCTGGGGAATTTCTCTAGAATTTCCGAGGAATTAGTTACAGGAAATAATTCTCGAGAAATCCCGGGAAATTCTTCAATGATAGTTGGAGAATCTGGGGAAATTCCTCACTTTTGTTACTTTGGAGGCTTTTAATTTTAATGGAGGCAAATTTTTCAAAATTTTATCATCCATAAACCTTCCCTGGCCCCTGGGGTCACGCGATCTCACAAACAAATTGGGCCCGATCAGTTTAGCCGTTTTGACATTTATTCGATTCAATCATACAGACAAACGATATTTCACCAGGAGGAGGGGACTGTATGAGTCCTCAATTGAAGCGCAGAAATTAGGTTTTCAATCTCAAGTTTCGCTTTCAAATTTTTACGGTGATAACAAATTAAGGTGGTGGAGATAACTACTTGAGGAGCAAGCATGGCGCAAAACACGTTTGGGTGGCTGTGATTACCAATTGATGAGTTCTGCACTTCCCCCCCTTGTGTTTTAGCTAGTGAAACGGCTGAACCAAATTTACTGAACATTTTTTAAACTCGGAATATTTTTTTGAGAAAATCATGGATTTCATTATATTCAATATACATGAAAGTTTATAGATAAACTTATAAGTAATAAAAGAAAGTAGAAATAACTAATGAACTATTTAGAAGAAAACCCGGAGTATGAATTGGATCCTCTTCAATCTGAACCAAAGAGAATCAGGAAAAGTCAACACAGGTATTCATGTTCTCAATGTGAATATTTTGCATCAACAGCAAATAATCTGAAGATCCATGAAGAAAGTAAACACAAAGAAGTTAGATATCCTTGCTCTGAATGTGAGTATCTCGGAACTACAGCAGGTGCTCTGAAATTTCATGTTGAAAGTAAACATGAAGGAGTGAGATATCCATGTTTGCAATGTGAATATGCTGCAACGACAGCAAGTTATCTGAAGAAACATGTTGAAAGTATACATGAAGGAGTGAGGTATCCATGTTTGCAATGCGATTATACCGCAGCTCAAGCAAGTCACCTGAAAAAACATGTTAACAGTATACATAAAAGAGTAAGGTATCTTTGTCCTAAATGTGAGTATAGTGCAACTCAACCAAGTAATCTGAAGATTCATGTTGAAATGATACATGATGGAGTGAGATATCCTTGTTTGCAATGTGAGTATGCGGCAACTACATCAAGAAATCTGAAGAACCATGTTGAAAGTAAACATGAAGGGTTAAGATATCCTTGTTCCCAATGTATGTATGCGGCAACTACAGAAAGGAGTCTGAAGATCCATGTAGAAAGTAAGCATGAAGGAGTGAGATATGAATGTTCTCAATGTGAATATTCGGCAATTACAGCTGGTTATCTTAAGAAACATGTTGAAAATAAACATGAAGGAGTGAGATATCCATGTTCTCAATGCGACTATGCCGCAACTCGAGCAACTCATCTGAAAATTCATGTTGAAAGAAAACATGGAGTACGATATCCTTGTTCTCAACGCGACTTTGCCGCAACTCAAGCAAGTCATCTAAAGAAACATGTTCAAAGTAAACATGAAGGAGTAAGTTATCCTTGTCTTCAATGCAACTATGCCGCAACTCGAGAAAGTTATCTGAAGAAACATGTTGAAATTAATCATGAAGGAGTGAGATATTGTTGTTCTGAATGCGAGTATGTTGCAACTAGAGCAGGCAATGTAAAGAAACATTTTGAAAGTAAACATGAAGGAGTGAGATATCCTTGTTCTAAATGTAAGTTTGTTACCACCAGTACAGACAATTTAAAGTATCATTGTAAAATTAAACATGAAGGAGTGAGATATCCTTGCTCACAATGTGATTATGCTGCAACCACTGCTGGTACTCTAAAGAAACATGTTGAAAGTAAACATGAAGGAGTGAGATATCCTTGTTCACTATGTGAGCATGCTGCAACCACAGCAGGTGCGCTGAAGATTCATGTTAAAAGTAAACATGAAGGAGTAAGATATCCTTGTTTACAATGTGAGCATGCTGCAACTACGGCAGGTGCTCTGAAGATACATGTTAAGAATATACATACACATAGTAGTGAGATATCCTTGTTCTAAGTGTTATTATATTTCAACTCTAGCAGGTGCTCTTAAGATTCATGTTAAAAGTACACACGTTAAGAATGAGATATTAGTAATCTCAATGCGACTTTGCCGCAACTCAAGAATGTTGAAAGTAAACATGAAAAAATTAGGTATCCTTGCCCTAAATGGGAGTATATCGCAACCCAAGCTTGTGATCTTAAGATTCATACTAAGAGGAGTTATAAATGTGATTTTGCTACAACTGCAGTAAGTATCAAGAAGAATCATGTTGAAATAAAATATCCATGATTTAAATGTAAGTGATTTAAAGAGACATGTTGAAAGAAATACAAAGGAGTGAGATAGCCTTGTTCTCATTTTGAGCACACCGAAACTACAGCATGCGCTCTGAAGATTCATGTTGAAAGTAAACATGAAGGAGTGAGATATCATTGCCTTCAATGTGAGTATTCCGCAACTCAAGCAAGTGTTCTGGTGAGACATGTTGAAAGTAAACACGAATGAGTGAGATATCCTCGCACTGAATGTGAGTAGCTTCAAGTTCAGCAGGACATTTGAAGATTCATGTTGAAAATAAACTGAAATGTGTGAGCTAGACATGTTCTCAATGTGAGAAGCTGCAATTTCAGCAGGTGATCAGAAGAGACATGTTAAAAATAAACAGAAATGTGTAAGATTGACATGTTCTCTATGTGAGTATGTTGCAATTTCAGCAGGTGATCAGAAGAGACATGTTAAAAATAAACAGAAATGTGTAAGATTGACATGTTCTCTATGTGAGTATGTTGCTATTTTAGCCTTGAGACAGGATTAGAATAATTATTATTTGCATGAGCTGCTTTGAAGTTCAAAGTTAGTTTGATTTTAAAAAAATTGTAATGCCCATTTTTTTGTCTTAGTTTTGTAAGAATAATTTAATTTTGAAAAGTCCTCATCAGTCAAATTCGATAACTTACTCGTTCCATCAGCCACTCGCTCTAAATACTGATATGTAAGGCTCAAGGGGAGGGAGCCTCATTTACTGTAATCCTGAATTTTAAATGATATCTTTAATTTCAATATATTACAGATGTTTATGTTACAAAAATCACATTTTAGAATGATGGTTGATCTTTTATTGATTTATTTATTTAAAATGTTATATATTACACCCATTTAGTTCTCTTATCTTCAATCTGACAAATTAAGTGTTCCAAAGAAATTCAATTTTATGTAAAAAATATAAATTATATTAATGTAAATTAGATGATGACATAGACAAGGTATTATGGTCAGGACAAGGTATTATAGCTAAACGAAATAATGATAATAATAAATCCTAATTAATTTATCGGTTTTAGTGAAAAAAGGATTAATATTTTTTTGAAATATGATTTTCTAATATGAAAAAAAAACAAGATGGGAATGAGTAATATAGCAAGTAAGCCGAGTACATAGTTTGAGTTTTGGCGAATTTTCTTTTACCTTTTTCCTGTATTTCAAAACTAGTTTCTTAGCAGTACTTTTTTAACTTCAAAGGGGGAAGTTCTGAAACTTTTGTAAAAAGTAATTTATTTTTTTTTGGAAAAAATATAAAGTGGGTTTTTTTTCTTTTTAAAATCAACATAATTTTAATTTTGGGGGATGGATTATAATAAATATACTCCTTTGGTAAATCATTTATATGTTTAGATATGTTAAATTCCGGACAGGAAACTGTAGATAGTCAAATTGTATTTTGTCCTGATTTACACACTGAGTTAATTATAAATAATGTTTTATTTTTTACGAATTCTATGATTCGGGTTACTTTGCTTTTCTTTATTTACTTTTTAGATAGAATGGCAGATATTATGAAGAAAGAATTAGATATTACGGACTTTGAGATGACATCTACTGTAGAGGATACATGTTTTGTTAATATACCTGAAGATGAAATAAAGATGGAAAATATAGAAGTAAAAGGTAAATTCAAAAATTAAAATATTATTTTTTAACAATGGAACAATGGCGTGGCCCACCGAAATATAAGAATGAATTATCAGAATCTTCCTGTTAACAAATATAATATTTGCATTAGGCAGACAGTACACACATGTTTTTGATTTTCCTTATTACCAAGTTTGGGGACAGGCGCACCATTAATAATAGTTTTAACTATTAACTTTTAAGTTCAATGAGGATTGAATTGTAAATTAATTATTTTTGTGATTTATACCCAATTAACATGGGAATTCAGTGACGAATTCAATATCGTCTTTTTAAATAATTCTTTGATTTAGTATAGTGATACCTACTGAGAAAGCTGTAATCAGTAAGAGTTTCGTCTGCTATGTTCACATTTTGTATATATAACTTGTCCGTCGAGTCCGTCTTCACTGTTCATCTTGGGGAGACATTATAAACACATCTTACCCTTTTACCCTTTTCATAAAATAAACTCTAGCAGACATAATAATATTATGGCTTTTGAAATTAGGATTACAATGCTAATTCATAACAAAGACGATATCAAATTCGTCACTGAATTCCCATGTCTTTTGGGACACCCTGTGCCAGAATAGATTTCTTTTTTTATTTCATATCAGATGTGTTGATTGACTTACTGAATATCCGGTTGGTAAAGTTAGTTTTTTATTGTTTAAGCATAACACACATTTTTCTTGCCCCCCCCCCCCTAAAAATATTAAGGGGGGGCAAAATATTTCCCCCTAGCCCCCCACTAACCAAATGTCTAGTTGCGCGCCTGATTAGATTGTATGTCAAGATTTAAGATACCAGTAATTATGTATAAAGAAATAAACGCCTATCAATCAATCAACCATGCTTCATTTTCACAAATTCTATGATTTGGGACTTGGGTTGCTTTGCTTTTCTTGAATTGTATCAGGTTTTAGAAGAAAATGAAATCATTAATTTAATCTAAGAAATCAAATGATCTATAAACTGAGTGGACCTGTATTCATTTTGACAGAAGCAAATGGTGTCATGACTAAATATCATTATGTATGCTTCATTTACTTTTCAGATAGAATGGCAGAGATTACGAAGAAAGAATTAGATATCAAGGACTTTGAGATGACATCTACTGTAGAGGATACATGTTTTGTTAATATACCTGAAGATGAAATAAAGATGGAAAATATAGAAGTACTAGGTAAATTCAAAATTAAAATATTATTTTTTAACAATGAAACAATGGGGTGGCCCGCCAAAAAATAGTAATGAATTATCAGAATTTTCTTGTTAACAATTATAAAGTTGCATTAGACACATGTTTTTGATTTTCCTTATTATCAACTTTTAAAAGTCAGGGGACAGGCGCACCATAATTAGTAGTGTTTGTATAGTAGTTTTAACACTTTACTCTTAAGAGGGGGGAAGGCAAACCACACCCGTTTACCTTTCTATCCACAATTTACTCACAAACATAGACTCGTGGCAAAGTCCTCATCCATAGCGCTTCCCTAGCCACACCCATATATCTTCCTTCAATATGTCCTATGTTCAACAGGGAGGGCACTGTACAGTGGTACACTCCATTTCATTTCATGTACGGGCCCAATTTCAACTATAGCCAGAGGAAGTTGTACACTGTACAGTACAAATAAAGACTAAATAAGACAACCGGACAGTATGCCAAATTAATGATCCTCTTCTAGTGAAATTTTTGTGAGGTAGTGTGTTCGGTGCCGGATTTGCAAATAATATATTTGCTAATAATGTTTTAAAAATATACGAGATATCCACCATTTAATTTACTAAAATCTAAAGCAAACAAAAAATTTTAACTTACGTATTTCATAAAAAAAAATTTGTGGATTTTCAAAATGTTCAAAAATTTAATTTTGTTATAAGCAAATTTTTAAACTCTATAATCCATAAACCTTCCTTGGGGTCATACAAGGCCCCACAAAAATTATATATATATAGATTTATAGATATATATTTATGTTAGTTATAGCTGGCCAAACGGCTGAACCAAATTTACAGAACATTTTTGAGGAAATATATGGTTAACCTGGGGCTAACATAGGCTAATCGAAATTTTCATTTTTTTATTCAAATATATATTTTTTTGAAGAAATCCATAGGTGTATTGTATTGAATACATATAAAAGTTTACAAGTAAACTTTATCTATATAATAGTAACTATTTAAAACACTGTTATTTTGGTACGCAGTGTTAGAAAGTTTTTGGACAGAAATTTTCTCTTTATCGAGAAGGTTCAAGTCATTTTAGATTATATAGAGAAAACTTTTGTCCAAACACTTTATATCACGTCGTGCCAAAATAATTGGGTTAAAGGTAATTTTATGAAACGTTTGTGTACGTGTCTTATTTCAACGACTGTTTCTAGATCACATAAGCTTTGAAACAAAGCAGAAGTCAAAATATAAAGTTGAATATAATTTATTTTTTATTTTAATTGAAAAAAATATTTTGGAAATATCTTATTTTTTTTGGAGAAAATCCGGGAGCCAATGAAAACTTTATAGCACACGTGCTATAATGTACAGCTAATTTAACTTTATGGCTCGATGATTACTTTATAGCACGGTTATTATGAAATTTACGATTGGTGGCCGGGTGGTGTTATAGGCTAAAAAAGTTTGAATTTTTATTTTTTTAAATTAAATAAAAAAAATTCCACGGGCAATGCAGGGCCTTTCAGCTAGTTATGAATAAAAGAAAGTTCAAATAACTAATGGTCTATTCAGTAGAAAACCTGGAATACGAATTGGATCCTCTTCAATCTGAACTAAAAAGAATCAGGAAGAGTCAACACAGATATTCATGTTCTCAATGCGAATATTTTGCATCAAACAACAAGAAATCTGAAGAGTTATGTTTAAAGTAAACATGAAGGGGGTGAGATATCCATGTTCCCAATGTGAATATTCTGCAACTACAGCAATTTATCTAAAAAAACATGTTGAAAATAGACACGAAGGAGTGAGATATCCTTGTCCTGAATGTGAGTATCTCGGAACTACTGCAAGAAATCTGAAGAAACATGTTGGAAGTAAGCATGAAAGAGTAAGTTATCTATGTTCCCAATGTATGTATGCTGCAACTACTGCTAGTATCCTGAAAAGACATGTTGAAAGTGAACATGGAGGAGTGAGTTATCCTTGCCCTGAATGTGAGTTTGCTGCAATTACAGCTGGTATCCTGAAGACTCATGTTGAAAATAAACACGAAGGAGTGAGATATCCTTGCCCTCAATGTGAGTATGCTGCAACTACAGCTGGTGTCCTGAAGACTCATGTTGAAATTAAACACGAAGGGGTGAGGTATCCTTGCCCTCAATGTGAGTATGCTGCAACTACAGCTGGTATCCTTAAGACTCATGTTGAAAATAAACACGAAGGAGTGAGATATCAATGCCTAGAATGTGAGTTTGCTGCTACTACAGCTGGCATCCTGAAGACTCATGTTGAAAGTATACACAAAAGAGTGAAATATCCTTGTTCTCAATACGACTATGCTACTACTCGAGCAAGTCATCTGAAGCAACATGTTGAAAGTAAGCATGAAGGAGTGAGATATCCTTGTCCTAATTGTGATTATGCTGCAACTACAACTAGTATTCTGAAGAGACATGTTGAAAGTAAACATAAAGGAGTGAGATATCCTTGCCCTCAATGTGAGTATTCCGCAATTAGAGCAGGTGATCTAGAGTTCCATGTAGAAAGTAAGCACGAAGGATTGAGATATCCTTGCCCTGAATGTGAGTACCTCGGAACTACAGCAAGGAATCTGAAGAGACATATTGGAAGTAAACATGAAGGAGTGAGATATCCTTGTTCTCAATGTAAATATGCGGCCACTACAGCAAGTGATTTAAAAAAACATTTCAAAAATAAGCATTAAGGAATGAGATATCTTTGCCCTTAAGTGAGTATGCTGCAACCTTATAAAGTCACCTATAGAGACATATTGGAAATAAACATTAAAGTGTGAGAACAGAAGTACTATAAGGAAACATGTCGTGTAACAATGAAGAAGCTAAATGCTTTAGAATTCACAGCATTCAAAACATGCTATGGGTTACACAGACAAACCACAGAGACAGATCACTAAGAAAACTTTGGTGGAAAGCTAATCTGCACAAACACAGTTTTAACAACAACACAAAAGACATCGATAATAGAATCATCAATGTGATTCAATGAAATCCAGCGTTCCAGGAGGGCAACACCACAAAATCTTCAATCAGATTCCCAGAAGATAACACATGTCAGGTTCTGATGCAGACCTGGATATGAAAGAGGAGAACAATTCCATCCTGGTTAAACAAGACGACTCTCCTTTAACACCTTCAAGGTTGACGCAAACATGGTTCCTTTCCTCAGGTAAACCCCAACTGACTTTCCACCAGTCAGATAGGGAATAGGCTGGGGTTTTGCAGGAACCTTTGCCTATTGGATGGCCCAGTACTATGTTTATTTCTTTTAATCATTTTGCTGGTGTATTTGCTGATTATATCTAGTTTTTTTTTCATGTATAGTTTTTTACATTGTGATTTTTTATTATAAGATTCAGGTGCGCAACTAGGGGGGGAGGGCAGGGGGGCCAGGCCCCCCTAACCTGATTAAGGGTGGGCATGCCCCTCCCTTAAGAACTCTTGCCCCCCCCCTGTAGGGGGGGCAAGAAGTGACGAAGTCCACCCTGTTTTGCAATTTAGCGATTCATGAATCCTGACCCTGAGCAAATTTAAGAGCTCTTATCGTAAAATAAAAAAAAGATGATTGAACTTTAGTTTATTGAACTTATAGTTCAATCGATATAGCACTTAATACACCATATACACACACACAAACCCCCTTCGTCTCCGAGACTAACTACTGCCGTAGATCAGAACAGGTTGACAAGGTTCCAAGGTGCCTTAGTATTTGTTTTTTTCATTATGCCGTTTTTTCCTGGGAAAGGGAAAGGGGGTTTATTAAGTATTTTTTAGATATTTTCACTATCAGTTCTGCCACTTATTATAATATTTCTTTAATACTGTAGTACAACTATTAAATTAATCCTACATGTTCACTGCAAATATTGTGTGATGTGTCATATTAAAAAAAAAATATTTTTCATGTAAAATCATGAATTTTTAATAAAAGGCATTTCTTGTCAGTTTTTGAGTACAATGTACATATTTGATTTATGGATAACTAATGAAAATTTATATATTTATATGTAATTTGTATTGAAAATTAATTATTTTTGTGATTTATACCAGAATCAGGGGCGGATGAAGGATTTAAGTGAAGGGGGGGGGGCAAGATTTTTAAGGAACAAAAAAATTCATAATTATGAACCAAAAATCGCGGCGCAGGCGAAAATTTTTTTGACTTAAAAGACTCAAAAAGACTGAAAATTAATGACTAAAGACTAAAAAACTAGATTTTTAACTTTTCACACATTATAGTTTATAAAGACAGATATTTTTTTCTGTTTTGCACCAGGGTTTCTTTCTGAATTAAGCATGCTATTGAGAAGCTATTCTGAAATAAGAACAAAAAATTCCTAATTCGGGGGGGGGC